TCATCGAGTATTGTAAAACTGAAGACATCTAGGTTACCATCAAGTTTATGGAAGTGCTATTGTAAAGATGCATATGGACTTCTCTCACGCTCTTTCTCACAACATGATCATCATTACGTTTTATTAATTAAAAATTAAATTTATAACTTATACTTTGATATTAAAAAAATATCAGTTTCCCTATACATGATATATGCAAAGAAAAAATTCGTTTACAGAGGGAGGTTGGAGTGTTACGACTACGGACGTAGTAATTTAATTCACCTCGTTATGTTAACAATGGTTGCTATCACAATTATTTTTATTTGCGGGTTGTATGGTTTCTTTGTCCTCTTATTATAACCTTTCAGTTCATTGAATGGCTTGGACACGTTTTCTTGACGGGTCAGAAAAAGTGACGCTTTCAAATAATTGTAGGGGTTCATTTTTTATCCAAAAAAACCTCTATTTTTTTTAGTTTCTATGTTATCTAGCGTGTGCAAATATAAGTATAACCAATAACAAAGCGAAATAGTGATCGAACTGGTTTGAAAAAAATTCAAATGGAAAACAAATTTAAACAATTGCATGTATAAATGAATACGGATACAATTAGGAAATGGTTGATCGAATCATCAAAGTGCTGGGAGCTGACCTGCGATGCACTTGTAATATTTCTTGCCCTGTCAAGAGAGAGCTGAACAAAGGATCACTCTGCCTGATGGGAAAAACGTAGCACCAGTTACCCTAGCGGGCTCTTTGAATAATTATGCGGAAACTAAATTAGAAATGTCTTAGCTCAATTGTGATTTGTGTACTTTTCCAACTACAACGAGGTTATTTCTAATTACATATTTTGACAGATCTTGACAATTTTCAAACAGTAAAAAACAACACTCCACCACTTAGTATAATCAAAGTTAGATTTTCATTTCCGGACAAAGGCCATAAGTGTGTAACTGACGTCTTAGAGATCGGTTTTCTATTGCTGCTGTTTAGAAAAAGAAAACTGATAATGGCGTCTGCAATAAGAAGATCTATCAAGACACTCCGTCTAGTCAATATATATGGTAAGATTTGTTGCTTTGTATTTCTTTAATCGTGTGGTTTCGGCTGATATAAATTAACCAAACCGTGACCAAAACTCAAGGCAAACTGCTGCTAAAAAATTGTGCTAAGGTCCAAAAAGAAAAAAAGGCAAAAAATGCGTATTTCAATGCACTTTGTGGTAGGTATTAAACAACCAATGTAATATAGATCATTGCTCTTGTTAATTTTCGGATAGGAAGAGGAATAGCTGATTGTTTAGTGAGTCTTGTTCATGGGTGACTTCGGTTGGGAAATATATTGTGTTCATTCATTTTAAGGGTCAGTGGTGGTCGAATCTCTTTCACGAGCTCCTCCATGTAGCAATTCCTCCCCTGTTTATGTAAGGCTATAGAGAAGATTTCTTTAGTTGGTTTCTACAAATGTAACTTAGAATGCATGATTCCCAGATTTTGATTCCGATAATGGACACATTGAGGATATTATTTTCATATTAATTTTTTTCTTAATTTCAGAGACGGATTAATTAGTACTTTTTTCAAATGGCATTGTATCTTATCAGCGGCGTTTGGTTCCTCGTATGTTACGCAACGAGCTTAGCTCAAGGGTGCATAAGAACGGACTCTCAAAAAGATCACAGACTCGTGGGACACGTAATTTCAAGTGACAAAGAAAACAGCATTTGGAGCTGTTTTCAAACGTGCAAAACAAAACTCGATTGCCGAAGTTTAAATTACAACTTGGAGACGTCTATATGTGAGATCAGTAACAGGACTAAAAGCGAGAAACCGGACAAGTTTGTTCAACTGGAAGGGAGCGTATACGTAGACAATCCTTTTAGAGGTCAGTGAGAGATGGAGATATTTAATATATGATAATTTTTAAAGCCAATTTAAAGAACACGCCACAAAATTAAACACATCAGGCAAACAATATCACAGCACTTTGACATTCCCAAACCATGGTGAGTTGGTTAACTTCTGCAAAAATGCTCACTCCTGAGCGGTTTTTGTTGTCATTTTTATTAAATCCACGCAACCAAAGTTGATCTATTTGCGCACAATAAATTTGTTTGCTTTCATTCATTAAGTCAGACGATGCTGAAAAATAGAT